TGGCGAGAGTATTTACATCAAGTTTCAAAGTTGGTATAAAAGCGGCGACGACGATTATCGGTTTCTACAGCATATTCCTTTTTTTCTTCTGGGAAACATTTGGGAAGAACATCGATGCGAACCTTCTCATCAGCTGCCTTCCCCTCGGCCCCCGAACGATTCACCCGTACATATTTTTCGACATTCGGTTCTCATGGTCCACAACTTCACACCACATTCACGGTTTATTTTCGCGACGAATATATGTACACGATTACGACGAACACGAGGAGGCCCAAAAAAATACAACGCACGTGGAGGTCCATGTAGCGCACGCGCGGGCGTCATCATTCTGGCCCTGGACAAGCATGGTTCCAACTGAAGAAGGGGGGTTGTTTTCAGTGGGCGTTCTCGGACGGCACATGGAAGGAAAAGTCAGGTCCAGGCGGTGTCCTGGCCTGCATTCAGGAATGTATTATTATTTGGCATGCCCTCAAAACGGGGCCGACGAAGCGGCTCAGGCAGGGTCGGCGGCGTAGGGACAGCGCACACAGTGGGCATTACGAATGAGAGGAGCGTCTCTTTGTTCTGTTTACCAGCTGTTTCGTGAGACCCGACCACAAAAAAAGTACCTGTACGATGGGGATGGGGGAAGAAGGGGGCAATGAGGATGCTTCGATACTTGCGTTGATTGGGCCGGTCAATACGGATATGATACCACCTTTTTCGCGCGCATTATTCTTTTTCTTCTCCCACCAGATGACAAGACACGACGTGACGACAAAGGAACCCCCACGAGGTCCCCGATGGGTGGCGAAGCAAGTCAGGACAGGCAAACATGCGGTGATTTGATTGCCTCTGCTCATTCACATGGGGGGTTTGGGGCCAAACCAACAGCAGCCAGCTCAAGAGGGATGACATTGAAAAGGGGACCATCTAGCACTACCAGATTCCAACCGGGAAGTCCCCAAAGCGGTCGCAAAGTCAGGCAAGTAGACGGGTCAATTGGCCAGGGCATCTGAAGTTGGCAACAAGATTTCCAGGGTTCGTTCAATTCAGCCGCAAAAATCTTAGGACCATGGTAGGGTTTGCATTAACTACAGATGGTCTCAACTTCAGCGCGCGCGCGGAGACACACTCTCTCTCGCACAGGCTTTTTCGATTCTCCTTCTCTCCGTCACCCCGGGACCCCGTCGTGTCTCGCAAAAGGTAAACTTTCATTTTCCGGCTGGGGGGGACGTTGGTGGCCGGGATGCATACGTCGGCCGGCGGCAGGCTAACTGCTCTGTAAACTTATTTGCCTCCCCATGCCATGGCGGCGGGGAGTTTCTCTCGGGTGTTCTCTGTCAGGACTGGTTTGACAAGGAGACGCCGAACGAAGACGCAGGCGAAAGTCGACCAACGACAGACAGAATGGGCCGACCGACCTGTCGGCAAGGCGCCGTGGCAGCGCCGTGGGCGGAGACAGACGCAGGCAGGGGTTTGCGGCGCGGAAGCCGGGAATCGGATGTCGGTTTTTTCGGAAAGGCATAAACGAGCTGTTAAATCAGCTGCAGCGCAAAGAGTGTGACGGCAATTAACGTGTGCAGCAGCTCCCGAGCCGACGCCAGATACCGAAGCTCAGCACCCCCCCTTCTACTGAAAGGTGTGGGATGCGTTAGGGAGGGGACCCGAATGGGACCCTTAGGGTAGCAAAGGACCCTACTTGTTGGTAACTATCTACGTATTACGCATGCTGTAATGCCGTATGTGTGTATGTACTTGTAGCAGCAGGCACACGGCCAGTAGCTTGTTACAGCTCCTTGGTAACGGCCGGTTCTAGACCCCTCTCCTTCACCCTTTTCGCTGGCAAGGATGTGGGGGGATTAGAAAGCATGAGCGGCCATAGAAAAGTATGCCAGAGAAGTGCTTCAATCGGAAGACGGTGGGCGGACGCATCGGGATGAATCTGTTCAAAGTTGGGCATGGGTGTCTTGTCTCGATGTTTCGAGGCGCCAGGGACCAGGTGAGAAGCACTGCCGTTGGGGCTGTCGTTTCTACGCAGTACTTAGTGCACTACTTGACTACGTACTGCGATACTTTACTTAGTGTACAGGTGATGGTTGTGAGTTTAGAGTTTGGGGTTGCGCATGGCGGCATGGGCTCTGGAATGCGCTCTCTCTCCCTCTCTCTTGGTCGGGGTGTGTACTGCACATCCGTAGTAAGTGCGTGGCACGGCACACATGGCTCTGGATGCGACATCAGACCGGGTTCCCATACCGCCGATAGAATGTGCGTAAACGCCGCAAGCACCGCGACCCGACTTGCAGGACCTTTCCTGGCAGCCATCCTCTTGCGCCAAGATAACCATGCAGCCAGCTTCCATCTTTGCTAGAAGCCCTTCTGGAATTTCGTCGGATCTATGGGGGAACGGTGACGGCGTCCTCCGCTTCACTTCAAAACCCGGCGTGGCCGACGTGCTTCATCGCAGGCGCATGTTTCGAGCGACGAAAGTTCCAACGACGTGCACAAACCAGCGACCACGCCCCCTCCCTCAGTCCCTCCCCTCTGATGTGACTGAAGTTCTGAACCAACCCCGCGCGCGCGCACGTACTTTTTTTTTCTTTTCTTTTTCTTGGACCACCCTGGCTACCGACTCTTCCCGCGCGCCGGGGCGGAGGGTCCGGGAGGGCCGCCTTGGTTTCGGGCGATGTCCGTGTGATGGGATGGACATATTGCGGGATCAGACGGGGTTTTTCTCGGGCGGAGAGACGCGGCGACCGCCGGAGGCAATCCCACCAGGCTATCTATCGTATTACTACCTTATCCCCATGACGCAAGTGCGACTATACCACAATCAAGGGTACTCCCACGTAGGAAACAGATCCCCTTTCGTTGCTACGCCGTATAGTATATATGTACTACACAATGTAATGTGGGCGAGGCGCGGGTGGCGGCTGTGGACGCATGGGGCTGAAGGAGTCAGGTTGCGCTGCGCTGCGCTCTACACGTGGTGACGCAAGTCAGTCGAGCAGGGGCCGGCTGGCAGCCAGCAGCCAGCAGCAGCAGCAGTAGCGATAACGAGCGGCAAAAAGAGGGCTGAAAGGTGTGAGCAAGTCATGGGTTCCACGCCGCCCCGCCAGCGACAACCACCGTTCTCCTAAGGCAAGGTACTGAATCGAGAGGCGAGGCGAGGCGTAAGCGGATGAGCACAAGGCCTCGGTACCGGGAATAGACCCCCGAGAGGTTTGACAGCTGCGTCCGTTCGCGAAACGAACATTGGACCGTGGCGATATTGGATACTGGGCGACTGACTAGCCGTGGTTGTGGTTGTGGTTGGGGGTGGGGGTATCTGGTTTGTTTTGGGTTGTTGGTAATAATACAGCTGAGAAACGATATCGTTTCTCCCTCTCTGTGTCAGATTATAGGTAGACATCGTGGGCAAATTGCGTATGCATGGCCGCGAGTACATTGGTGCTGTCGTAACCCCATGTTCTTCCTCCTCCATCCCTCCCTCCCTCTCCTCCTCGTAGAGGGCCCCCGGATATCCCGTGGTGCTGCTTCCCCTTCCACTCTCACCTGCGCTGACCCAACATCGGGCGGATGATGTCGTACACCCACGCGTCCTTGGCGGCGTTCCTGTAGCCCGACGACTTGCTGGCTCTCCCGGCCTCCTTCGCGGGCAGCCCGAACAGGCTGACGGGGCGGTAGTGGTACCACTTCTTGCGCGCCATGAGGTTCGCGACGTCGCGGGTGTGGGTGACGAGGCGCGCGCGGGTCTCGCGGAAGCCGGCGTCCGCGGGGACGGGGCGGAGGTCGGCTGCGCTGACGAGGGTGGCGCGCGGGCGGCCGGCGAGGCCCAGCGTGCCGACCTCGAGCTGGGCGGTGGCCGGGAGGGCGCGGACGTAGCGCTCGAGGAGGGCGCGGGAGGAGCGGGCGGCGGGGGGCAGGCGGAGGAAGACGTGGGTGACGAAGGGGGCGGAGAAGTAGGCTACGTAGGCGAACGGGATGAGGGCGCAGGTGGCTGGTCAAGGTGTTAGTTTGGATGTTCTCTTGTATGAGTGAGTCTGGCAGTTTGCCGGTGTGTAGGAGCTTAAGATGGGAGGGGATACGGCGAGGGAGAAAGCCGGTGTGATGAGCGGGAGGGAAGGAGGGGAAGACTTGCATGCCGCGGTGATCTGAGCTACGGACACATCGTCACTGCGCAGCATAGCAGGCTCCCAGACGAGAGCGAAGACGGCGGCCACGAAGATGGTGGTGATCTTGAGACCGGCCACGAATCCTATCCTGCCCGTGCCGGCCTGGTAGACGAGCAGTCTTTCAGGAAGCAGTTGTGCTACGAGTGCCTCATGTTAGCTTTCCGTGCGTGGTGTGCGGGCTCTTATGACGACTCACGCGTAGATCCGGAGCTGGCCGCCGCCGGTTTTGAAGCGGTAGGAGTGGTCGCGGCGGTCCCGGACCCGTGGCTTCTGGGCGGCGGCGCGGAGGAGGCGAAGGGCCGTCTTAGACTCTGTGGTGGCAGAGATTTTCGGAGGAGCTGCGGGCGGAGCGGACATGACCGCAGGGCGGGGAGGAAGTGAGTTGTCGGCGCGGACGACCGTGTGAGAGTGAGTCTGAGGAGAGACATGGTGAGGATGCCTCTGAGGGTTGAGTGACGGAAGGTAGGGATGGAGGAGTTGTGAGATGAGGTTGAAGATTGGATGAGGTGAGCTACGTTGGATGAGGTCACTGCGCCCTGCATTGGACTTTTTTTTTTCTCTTCTGAGGGAAAATGGGAAAACGCGACGCGCGACACTTGGTTATCCGGTTGCCATGGACCGAACTGCGCTATATTTCACAATCACCCATTTTTTCAGCAAATTCGGTAATTTTCGATTATTTAGATGTTTTTCTTTCGTAATGTGATTCTTTAAAAGTTGCTGGTGGTTCAATCGAGTTGAACATCTCATAGAGCTCTCTCTTCGTCACAAGCTTGAGCAATGACCACCGGCATCGGTAGCTCACAGCCGAAGCTCCCTAGGCGAAGCACGTCTACCATCAAGTCAGACAATGTTCTTCTGCAGCCACTCCTTCCACTGGTCCAGGGTCCAGCTCGAGCTGATCTCGTTGTTGGGGTATCCGTCGAACAGCACCGTCGGGCTGACGTGCACGCCCGTCAATCTGGCCAGCTTGATGAGCACCTTGAAGTCGTTGGTCACGCCGTTGCCGCTGTTGAGCGAGCCGTCTTCCGCGGGCTTGTCCGAGATGACCAGCAGGTCGTACACCTTCTTCTCGTCGACGCCCACGGAGGCCGCCAGCTTGGCGAGGCGCTTGTACGTCTCGTTGCGCGGCTCGTTGACGACGTTGACGTCGAAGTAGTCCTTCTGCGCCTTGAACAGGGCGTCGCTGTAGGCCCAGAACTTGGCCGGGGCGACCTTGACCACGGCGACGGCGGACTCGTGCACGAGCGTGCTCGACGGGTGCCAGGGCTGCACCTGCTGGCGGAAGACGACCTCGACGTTGGAGGCCCAGGCCGGGTTCGCGCGGATGGCGGGCACGACCTGGTTGTAGAAGGTGGCGAACTGCTTGGCCGAGAAGGGGCAGACGTAGTCGAGGTAGAGCTCAATGGTGTGCGGCTGCGCGGCGACGCCCTCCGCGGCGGGTTTGGCGGGGGAGAAGGCCAGCTTGTGGGCGGCGAACTTTGGTGGGACGGCCATCTTGGGGTGCGATGTGGTGAAGTGACGGTGTGGTTTTGATGCTGCGCTTCGAGTGAGTGGTGATATGGTTTGAGGATTTCGAATGACAGCTGCTGGGCGCCGGCTCAGGTTTAATATGACGTGCGAGGAGAGCTTCATGGAGCTTGTGAGCAGCGGGAAGCTGTTCTCAAATCAGAGGGTGATGACGCCTGATAAAGGGCCCAATTGGAGCTGGCGGGGGCGGGGTAGCTTCTACAGGTCGCGATACGGCGGAGGGAGCTTTGTTCTGGCAATTTGCGAATCATGATGCAATCCGATCACGACAGACTGCTTACTGAGCAGCTTTGACGACCATGTCACGCAATTGGCCAGACTCGATGGCCTGCCTCGGTCGTGCAAGGGCTTCACGGAATGATACAACAAAAATTTGGAATTATAGACGGCTCCCGAGGTCTGGAGCCATGGGTCGGGGCATCTTGAGGTCCGACTTTGAGATACGGCCCGACGCCGATCCCCGGGCCTGCCGGATGGTTATTTCCTAAACTAGCGCCCTTGTCGTTTAACGGATGCCATGGAGTTATCATCTCAGACGACATTGTGCCTTGCTTTTGACGCCGAACCCCTAGAGCCGTTGGCTCAGAGGCCGGCTTGAAGCCGCGCTGTCTCATCACTGATGAGCTTTTCTCCACGCACGCGGCAAGCTGCAGACGTCCTCGGTGAACTAGCGGATCATCGGTGAAGACGTCCTACCGCATGATCTACCAAGCGCATGCGGCCGAGCCTCACGCTTTGCGCAGTGTCGAACAAGTGTCACCCGTTTACATTGTGTAAGAAGAAGAGAAAAAATCAGCGTGGTCCCAGCGCTATTGAGTAACACTTAAATATGTTTCTTCTAACTCTCAAGGTGACAACAACCGATTAGATTGTGGTGCTTCTACGAGAACCTGGAGGACTCAACCTTGATGTCAGGCCAATGTGCTAATTCTAAACATTTCACGGCAGTAAACGGACTTGCAAGCAAGTAGATCGATATCGTCTCTTCTTGTTATCGCCCAGCTTATAGCAGCGACTGGGGACCGGTGCACTATCCCATCGGCCCGCCTGTGTCCACTGAAAATGTTACCCCTTTGGGCAACTCGGCTGCGAATTCAATTATCCATCTTCATGTCTTCACCTGTACGCTCTTCGACTAGTGACAAATTGCTCATCATTATTTTGTTCGGGTCTATGATTACAAACTACGACACTCATGACACCGTGTTCTTGGCCACAATGCCGCGCGCAAACTCGCCAAAGTTGATGTGCTGCTCCATGTCAACCTCCTCGCCCAGGTTAGGCTGAGTGAACACCGCCAGCGTGTTGCGCGCAACACGACCATCGCTGACGGACGCCTTGACGCCTCTCACAAAGTGCGGCACCGCCTTGAACTTGCCACCAGTAATGCGCTCCAGCGTCTCGCCAGTCTGGAAGGCAATGCCGTCACGCGGGATCTTGACCTGCACCGTCTCCCCACTGCGGGAGCGGATGTAGAGGCCGGCCGTCGGATCGGGCGACGCTGGCAGCTCTGCCAATGGCGGCAAGCTGGCTGACGTGCTGTTGCTGACTTCCGGCACCGCTGGCGAGGTCTCCTTCTCGTCGATGAACATGGCGGATGTCAAGCCCGTGAGGCAGCCGTGATCCAGGTGCTCGGCGCACCAGGAATCATCATTGGCACCAATCTTGTCCAGGTCTGCCTGAGTCTGCGGGTAGTAGTGCAGCAGGCGTGCCTTGGTAGTAGTAGAAGTGCTGACAACGTGCTCAAGGTATCCCTTCGGATAGCCCTGGATCTCCGTCTCGGCGAACCTGTCGCAGGCTCGCGCGACGAGGACGGCCGTGTCGATGATGACTTTGCACAGGCTCTCGAGACTCGGCTTGAACCCAGGGAGGACGTCCTGGGATGGCCAGACGTTGGGCGAGAGGTACTCGGGGAAGTTGTCTTCGTTGAACTCCGCTGTAGGCTTGGCACAGTTGAGAGTGGCGTCAACGTAGAATGCGCAGTTCGCGTAGTAAGAGCCCTTGAAGGTGTCTACCTGGCCGTCCTTGAGAGTCTCCTTGCCGAGTGACCATCCCGTCAGATATTTGGCCTTGACATTCTCAATTTTGGCTACTTGAGTGTAAGCGATGTGTACAGCGGATGTGGGGTCCCACTGTCGTACCCAACTCTTGCTCAGGCAAGTTGCCAAGATAAGAGGCATAAGACAACGTTTGATGCCTCAAGTGAGCAAACTCAGTTGGCACATCCTTGACGACCAAAATGCCCAAAGAATCGGGGCCGAATGCTTTTTGTAAAGTCTCAAAGGGGATATTACCTAGAACAAGACAATCACATGTAAGTTGCGGTTGCTACGCTGAACAGCGAGCGACTCACCCTCCTTGAGATCGTTCAGCGATACAGTGACCGGTTGCGCGATTGAAGACATCTTGACTCTCTGGAGTGCAAAACTGGAAGAATTTCTCAACGACGAATGAATTTCACAGAAAAGTAATCAGATCGTGGCTGCATCTACCTACAACGGACCCTGTGACCTTCTGGGGAGTGTGATCTGATGTGGGGGAGGGGCAGCTGTTTGGCCTTACGTAATCCAAACCTTCCATACCTTAACGCCAGTGCGCTGAAGCTCCTATCGCCAGTTTATATCTTGAAGGTTGCAACCAACACCAGGTCGGAAACCGCCGGACACCGGCTACAACCGCGACAATCTCACACTCACCTTCCCTATCGAGACCTCAATCGACTCACGAGAACGCGAAGGAAACGAAAAGCACGAGGCGCCTAGGCGATGGTCAAGCCCCTATCCTTCAAGGGCGAGAAGAAGCCCAAGAAGAGAAAGCGGACCGAGGCGGAGGCCCACGACCGAGATGCGCCTGCCGGGGACCTCGTCCGCGCCGGCGCCGCCTCCGCTGCTGCACCGGAGGATGACGCCGATAACGATGACAGCTGGGTGTCTGCCGACGCGGTGACGGACGTCGTTGGGCCCATCATGTTCGTGCTACCTACGGACCCGCCTGCCGCGTTGGCGAGCGATGCCAACGGCAAGGTCTTCACGCTGGGTATCGAGAACATTGTGGACGGAAACCCTACGAGCGCGGAGCCGCACGACGTGCGACAGGTGTGGGTTGCGAATAGAATTGCGGGAACGGAGCAGTTCAGGTTCAAAGGACACCATGGACAGTAAGCGCCCGCTTGCGACCCTGAAGCTGTCGACGAGCGTAGCTAACGGATGGTATAGGTATCTTGGATGCGACAAGAACGGCGTGTTGTCTGCGACGTCGGCGGCCGTTTCGCCCCTCGAATCGTTCAACATCATCGCTACGGCCGATACCCCGGGCACATTTCAGATCCAGACGTTGCGCGATACGTTCCTGTCCGTCAAGCCGCCCAAGCCTAACGTTACGACATCTGACGTACGAGGCGACGAGGTAACCACGACGTTCAACACCACATGGCGCATCAGGATGCAGGCGAGGTTCAAGCCGCGTATTAAGGCGAGCAAGGAGGAAAAGGCAAAGGAAAAGATCAGTCGTAAGGAGCTGGAGGAAGCCGTTGGGCGCAGGCTCGAGGACGACGAAGTCAGAAAGCTGAAAAGGGCCAGGAGGGAGGGTGATTATCATGAGCAACTTCTGAAGTTGAAGGTCAAGGGGAAGCACGACAAGTATGGCTGATTCCGGTTGGCCGCTTGCGAGGTCGATGAACGGAAGCATGATACCCAGATGAAAAAGCACATCATTTCTTTTCCCACTTTTTTTTTTTTTTCCGATTCTTCTACTCTACCACTAGCTGGGTCTCCAGGCCTTGATGTTGCCGTCCTCCCCGGCAGTGAAGACGACCTGCTCGTCGTCGTAGAAGCAGAAGGACCGAACGATCTCATCCCCATGACCACCAGGCAAACCGACACTATTTGCCTTGTCGAAACCCCAGCTGCCCTCGTTCGTCCGTGAAAGGTGAACCAGCTCGAAAACCTGACGCCTGTGCAACCGTGTTAGCTACGAACTCCCATTCTCGAGTAAATAAAGACACTTACTCCAAGGCGCCAACTCCGACGATAGCACCGCTTCCATCAACCTTGGTGGTGACGTTAGCGATATACTGGCATCCTAAAGTCTCCCTGGCATCGCCAAAGTCGGCGACGGCGGCACCAGTCTGGCACTCGTCAGCGACGCTGTAGACGGCAAACTTCTCGTCATGCGTCAAGACGTAGATCTCTGTATCGCTGATGAATGAGGCGTGATGAACGGAGCCTTGGTTGAGCGCCTGGATGACCACGTCGTCCTCGTCAGAGATGCGCGTGTCATAGACGTTGACGAGGCCGTCGGTCGAGCCAGACAGGAGGACGTGAGGCTGCGAAGGGTGGAAGCGAAGCTCAGTCACGTCATCGCTGTGGACTTCATCGTATTGTAGCCTTTGGGTTGGACCAGCTCTGATATCCCTGCGGAAGTGTCAAGGGGTGGGCTCTGAGAAGGACTTTCGCCGGGGGTTCTTACCAGAGCATAACGGAGGCAGTGTGGTTCTGAAGTTCTGTTCCGATTGCTATCGTGTTGCTTCTTGAGTCGCAGGCGAGGGAGGTGATGGGTGACTGAGTTGCTGCGACTGCGTGTAAGTCGACGTGGTTCATCAATGACCCCGGCTGCGGCGGGTCAACATACCTGCAAAGTGGGCTACTTGCGGTTTTGAGCTCTGCCTCAGGTCCCAGATTGAAACCTCCCCATTCTCTCCTGCCGTGCAGACGATGGATTCCAGGGCATCGTATGTCTTTAGGCACGTAAGGTTGCCGTGGCTGGTGGCCAACGACCTGATGGGCCCCTGGCCTACGCGGGCAGGGTTGAAAAGGGTAAGTTTTTGGTCGGAAGAGATGGCAGCTAATCCAGTGTTAAGGCGATGGAGATCAAGGACGTATACATCCCCTTCACCACCGAAGTGGTGGCCGTCGACACAGGTGAGGTTGTACATGTTCCTTGTGTAGACTAGACTTGAGTGAGCATGG